GGGTGGATTAGTGCGTGGGTTAGTGGGTAAGTGTGTGAGTGAGTGGTTGAGTGGGTGGATTAATTAGTGTCTGGGTGGGTTAGTGGGTGAAATAGTGTGTGAGTGTGTGGGTGAGTGTGTGGTTGAGTTGGTGGATGGATCAGTGTGTTGGGTGGGTTAGTGGGTGAGCTAGTGGGTGAGTGAGCGTGTAGGTGAGTGGTTGAGTGGGTGGATGAATTAGTGTGTGGGTGGGGTAGTGGGTGAGTTAGTGGGTGAGTGTGTAGGTGAGTGTGTGGTTGAGTTGGTGGATGGATCAGTGTGTTGGGTGGGTTAGTGGGTGAGCTAGTGGGTGAGTGAGCGTGTGGGTGAGTGGTTGAGTGGGTGGATGAATGAGTGTGTGGGTGGGTTCGTGGGTGAATTAGTGTGTGAGTGTGTGGGTGAGTGTGTGGTTGAGTTGGTGGATGGATCAGTGTGTTGGGTGGGTTAGTGGGTGAGCTAGTGGGTGAGTGAGTGAGCGTGTGGGTGAGTGGTTGAGTGGGTGGATGAATGAGTGTGTGGGTGGGTTAGTGGGTGAGTTAGTGGGTGAGTGTGTAGGTGAGTGTGTGGTTGAGTGAGTGGATGAATTAGTGTGTGGGGGGGGTTAGTGGGTAAGTGAGTGAGTATGTGGGTGAGTGGTTGAGTGGGTGGATGAATTATTACGTGGGTGGGTTAGTGGTTGGGTTACTGGGTGAGTGAGTGAGTTAGTGTGTGGGTGTGCAGGTGAGTGTGTGGTTGAGTGGGTGGATGAATGAGTGTGTGGGTGGTTTAGTGCGTGAGTTAGTGGGTGAGTGAGTGAGTGAGTTATTGTGTGTGGGTGAGCGGGTTGGTGGATGAATGAGTGTGTGGGTGGGTTAGTGGGTGAATTAGTGTGTGAGTGTGTGGGTGAGTGTGTGGTTGAGTTGATGGATGAATCAGTGTGTTGGGTGGGTTAGTGGGTTAGCTAGTGGGTGAGTGAGTGGTTGAGTGAGTGGATGAATCATTACGTGGGTGGTTTAGTGGGTGGGTTACTGGGTGAGTGAGTGAGTTCGTGTGTGGGTGTGCAGGTGAGTGTGTGGTTGAGTGGGTGGATGAATGAGTGTGTGGGTGGATTAGTTCGTGGGTTAGTGGATGAGTGAGTGAGTGGGTGAGTGGTTGAGTGGGTGGGTGAATTAGTGTGTGGGTGGGTTAGTGCGTGGGTTACTGGGTGAGTGAGTGAGTTCGTGTGTGGGTGTGCAGGTGAGTGTGTGGTTGAGTGGGTGGATGAATGAGTGTGTTGGGTGGTTTAGTGCGTGGGTGAGTGGGTGAGTGGGTTAGTGGGTGAGTGAATGAGTGGGTTAGTGGGTGAGTGAGTGAGTGAGTTCGTGTGTGGGTGTGCAGGTGAGTGTGTGGTTGAGTGGGTGGATGAATGAGTGTGTTGGGTGGTTTAGTGCGTGGGTGAGTGGGTGAGTGGGTTAGTGGGTGAGTGAATGAGTGGGTTAGTGGGTGAGTGAGTGAGTGAGTTCGTGTGTGGGTGTGCAGGTGAGTGTGTGGTTGAGTGGGTGGATGAATGAGTGTGTTGGGTGGTTTAGTGCGTGGGTTAGTGGGTGAGTGAGTGGGTGAGTGAATGAGTGGGTTAGTGGGTGAGTCAGTGAGTGAGTTCGTGTGTGGGTGCATACGAGTTGTCTGCAGCTCTTTCGCGAGCGACTTAGTGGCACGAATTCCCGTATTGAGCATTCTGACTCCAGTGTGTGTGCGCTAAAACCACCAGCAACCGGGGAGGTGCAAGCCGAAACGGTATTACATTTGATAACCGGTCCCCTTTGCCTATATACATCTGGTGCAAGTTCACCAGCATTGACTTCAAGCAGAGCCTGACCCTGCTGATGATTCTGCTGTTGATGATGATGATGATGAAGAGACACTAAATGTCCAACACGTGCCCTGTATGGATCTTGCGTTGAATTGAATGTGTGGAATGGGATGTGTGGAATGGGATGTGTGAGATGAGATGTGTGGAATGGGATGTGTGATATGGGATGTGTGGAATGGGATGTGTGATATGGGATGTGTGATATGGGATGTGTGAAATGGGATGTGTGGAATGGGATGTGTGAGATGAGATGTGTGGGATGGGATGTGTGATATGGGATGCGTGATATGAGATGTGTGGAATGGGATGTGTGATATGGGATGTGTGGAATGGGATGTGTGATATGGGATGTGTGGAATGGGATGTGTGGAATGGGATGTGTGGAATGGGATGTGTGGAATGGGATGTGTGATATGGGATGTGTGGAATGGGATGTGTGATATGGGATGTGTGGAATGGGATGTGTGATATGGGATGTGTGGAATGGGATGTGTGGAATGGGATGTGTGGAATGGGATGTGTGATATGGGATGTGTGATATGGGATGTGTGATATGGGATGTGTGATATGGGATTTGTGATATGGGATGTGTGGAATGAAGTTGGCGGTTGTTGATGTGGAGAGGGACATATTACCACCTCAGTCTATCCCTTCAGTCTATCCCCTAGTTTACCACCTTAGTCTATATTCATATTCTTAGCTCTTTCGGTAAAGTCACGTTGAAGGGAAACAATAAAATAATAAAAAAAATATAAAACAATAAAAAATGTGATAATTTTTTATGATGATGATGAGACACTAAATGTCCAACACGTGCCCTGTATGGATCTTGCGTTGAACTGAATGTGTAAAACGGGATGCGTGATATGGGATGTGTGGAATGGGATCCGTGATATGGGATATATATATATTTTATATATAAAACAATAAAAAATGTGATAATTTTTATTGTTTTATATATATTTTATTATTTTATTGTTTCCCTTCAACGTGACTTTACCGAAAGAGCTAAGAATATGAATTACTGCAGTCACGAAAGCTTTAAATCAAAATTTCACCTTAGTCTAGCCCCTTAAGTCTATCCCCTTTAGTCTAGCCCATTAAGTCTATCCCCTTTAGTCTAGCCCCTTAAGTCTATCCCCTTTAGTCTAGCCCATTAAGTATATCCCCTTTAGTCTATCCCCATTAAGTCTATTCCCTTTAGTCTAGCCCATTAAGTCTATCCCCTTTAGTCTAGCCCATTAAGTCTATCCCCTTTAGTCTAGCCCCTTAAGTCTATCCCCTTTAGTCTAGCCCCTTAAGTCTATCCCCTTTAGTCTAGCCCCTTAAGTCTATCCCCTTTAGTCTAGCCCCTTTAGTCTAGCCCATTAAGTCTATCCCCTTTAGTCTAGCCCCTTAAGTCTATCCCCTTTAGTCTAGCCCATTAAGTCTATCCCCTTTAGTCTAGCCTATTAAGTCTATCCCCTTTAGTCTAGCCCATTAAGTCTATTGCCTTTAGTCTATCCCCATTAAGTCTATCCCCTTTAGTCTAGCCCATTAAGTCTATCCCCTTTAGTCTAGCCCCTTAAGTCTATCCCCTTTAGTCTAGCCCCTTAAGTCTATCCCCTTTAGTCTAGCCCATTAAGCCTATCCCCTTTAGTCTAGCCCCTTAAGTCTATCCCCTTTAGTCTAGTCCATTAAGTCTATCCCCTTTAGTCTAGCCCATTAAGTCTATCCCCTTTAGTCTAGCCCATTAAGTCTATCCCCTTGAGTCTAGCCCATTAAGTCTATCCGCTTTAGTCTATCCCCATTAAGTCTATCCCCTTTAGTCTATCCCCATTAAGTCTATCCCCTTTAGTCTAGCCCCTTAAGTCTATCCCCTTTAGTCTAGCCCATTAAGTCTATCCCCTTTAGTCTAGCCCATTAAGTCTATCCCCTTTAGTCTATCCCCATTAAGTCTATCCCCTTAAGTCTATCCCCTTTAGTCTATCTCCATTAAGTCTATCCCCTTTAGTCTAGCCCATTAAGTCTATCCCCTTTAGTCTAGCCCCTTAAGTCTATCCCCTTTAGTCTAGCCCATTAAGTCTATCCCCTTTAGTCTAGCCCATTAAGTCTATCCCCTTTAGTCTATCCCCATTAAGTCTATCCCCTTTAGTCTAGCCCATTAAGTCTATCCCCTTTAGTCTATCCCCATTAAGTCTATCCCCTTTAGTCTAGCCCCTTAAGTCTATCCCCTTTAGTCTCGCCCATTAAGTCTATCCCCTTTAGTCTAGCCCCTTAAGTCTATCCCCTTTAGTCTAGCCCATTAAGCCTATCCCCTTTAGTCTAGCCCATTAAGTCTATCCCCTTTAGTCTAGCCCCTTAAGTCTATCCCCTTTAGTCTAGCCCCTTAAGTCTATCCCCTTTAATCTAGCCCCTTAAGTCTATCCCCTTTAGTCTAGCCCCTTAAGCCTATCCCCTTTAGTCTAGCCCATTAAGTCTATCCCCTTTAGTCTATCCCCATTAAGTCTATCCCCTTTAGTCTAGCCCATTAAGTCTATCCCCTTTAGTCTAGCCCATTAAGTCTATCCCCTTTAGTCTAGCCCATTAAGTCTATCCCCTTTAGTCTAGCCCATTAAGCCTATCCCCTTTAGTCTAGCCCATTAAGTCTATCCCCTTTAGTCTAGCCCCTTAAGTCTATCCCCTTTAGTCTAGCCCCTTAAGTCTATCCCCTTTAGTCTAGCCCATTAAGTCTGTCCCCTTTAGTCTAGCCCATTAAGTCTATCCCCTTTAGTCTAGCCCATTAAGCCTATCCCCTTTAGTCTAGCCCATTAAGTCTATCCCCTTTAGTCTAGCCCCTTAAGTCTATCCCCTTTAGTCTAGCCCATTAAGTCTATCCCCTTTAGTCTAGCCCATTAAGCCTATCCCCTTTAGTCTAGCCCATTAAGCCTATCCCCTTTAGTCTAGCCCATTAAGCCTAACCCCTTTAGTCTAGCCCATTAAGTCTATCCCCTTTAGTCTAGCCCCTTAAGCCTATCCCCTTTAGTCTAGCCCCTTAAGTCTATCCCCTTTAGTCTAGCCCATTAAGTATATCCCCTTTAGTCTATCCCCATTAAGTCTATCCCCTTTAGTCTAGCCCATTAAGTCTATCCCCTTTAGTCTAGCCCATTAAGCCTATCGTCGTTTTACTCCCCACCCTCGTTGAGCACCAGCAGCAGGATGGACCAGTAGAGGAGGTTGAAGAGGAGGAAGCAGATGGGGAAGAACACGCGGGAGACGTTGTCAATGCCCTGAGCCAGGGAGGAAACTTTCTCTCCAAACTCCGTCTCCTTTGTCTTCTTGTCGACCTCCGCCTCCTCCTGCATCACGGAGAGATGAATATGATGATGGGGTGAGGCTAGGGAGATGTTAACTACTTCACCTGGTGTACAGGAGGCATAGGGGTTCCATCCCCGTTCCCTGAACGGCTTCTGTATATTTAGAGTTTCCGTATTTTCTCTCCCCGTGGTGGTCGCGCGGCCTTTTCTCCAGGTCATCCAGCTTTTCTCTCCGAATTTCAGAATCAACATCACGTGTTCAGAGTATTTCGCTGCTATGCATTTCCACGCGACAAGCCACTCCGTTGAGCGATCATTTGTGGCCAGGTCGCTTCTGAAAACGAGCTACATCGCTCCGAGGGGTCTTACCCGGTAAAATAAAATTTAAAAAAATAGTATTCTAGTTTACTGATAGCCCATAGTTTCACTGCACGAGCGTTTAATGATGCTGCGATTAGCCATCAAACAAAGACGGTGGTCACTGTGTCGCACGGTGCTTTCTGATGCATTTCTGCGGCCATCTGGAATGCTGTTCCTTCCGATCTAAGTAAGCCAACTGGGAGATCTACACTTTGAAGTCACCCAGATTGACAAACTAATTCATTTAGAACTGCCTTTTGTGTTCAGTGTTGTTGTTCGTCCGCCCCACAACCTCCGATTGGCAGCGCGGTTGGCTACGTACGGTGGTGCGAAAGAAGTTAAACGTACATGCATTTGTACGTTTCCGAATGTTTCAGCTCAACACAACGGGCGACTTCAAGGGCAATTCTCACAACCTAATGTAGCAATTCGATATCACTCTTGTCGTTTCTAGATTTGAAGCTTTCGTGACTGCAAGGATCCATACTCTTTGGTTCTATTCGGTAAAGTCACGTAGGTAAAAAATAAAACAACAAAAATCACGACGTTTCGCCACAACACAAGCGGCCTTCATCAGGTGAAGGGACCGGACTGTCCAGAGGACAGCGCTGGAAGACAGTCTGGTCCCTTCACCTGATGAAGGCCACTTGTGTTGTGGCCGAAACGTCGTGATTTTTGTAGTTTTCTTTTTTACCTACGTGCCTTCACCGAATAGAACCAAAGAGTATGGACTCTTATCGTTGTTATTGTTGTTACAGGGCGGCTTAACGTGTTGGTGCCTTTGGGTGTTTGGGGGCCTTTAGGCCTTTGAACCTTTAGGCTTGTGGGCCGTTTCGGCAAGTCTTACTGCGATCCGCAAACTGTGTCTGTGAACTCATGACGCACCTTGCACTTGGCGAGCTTGAGGAGGAGGTCGTGGTCGTTAGTGAGGGCGTAGGTGACGGCGATGTACTCGAGGAAGGCGGCGAATACGAAGACCATGCAGGCAGTCATCCACACATCCATTGCGGTGGCGTATGACAGCTGTGTGAGAGGAGGTTTCAGGGTTCTTCTCTTTAACCCAGGGCCCGATTATCACCAACCATGGGGGTTCCTAAGCTATGTCAAGAGGCCCCATCGAGGAATGACTGTACATTTAAACATAACCATTGTAGAGACTCTTTTTCCCCCCATCTACTTTATTTTTCAACTGATAATATACTAAAAAATATATTAATTTTAAGCGGGCGTAAGGCCTCACTGAGCTATGTAGCTCTTTTTGAGAAGCGACCCCCTGGCCATCACAAATGGCAAATGGAAATTTATAGCAGCCAAATACTCTCTAAACGTGTGCTGGTGATTCTAAATATGGAGGGAAAAACCTGGAGGCACTGGAGAAAAATCCACACCACCGCATGCAGAGAGAAACGCAACTCCAAATATACAGCAGGAGTCAAGGTCTGGATGGGGTCCAGGCCTCCTGTATACCCGGCGAGGTAGTTAATATCTTGCCACCCATGGCACTCCCATATTATGCGAACTTGACGCTTTGTAGAATTTGTTTCCGTATTTCGAGGCCCCTCAAAACGTGAGGCCTTAAAATCGCGGCTGACTTAGCTTTTGTTTAACACACAGGCTTTCACCGACCTATATATCCTTAATGCAGGTTTTTTTGGGTTCGATCGCGCAAATATATAAATGTGTCGTTAAACCTGCCACCACCCAACACAGCCAATTAGTAAGGTTTGTCACGTAAACAGAACATTCCAATTCGTTACTAGCACAGCATACCTCAGATTGTAAATGTTGTGGCTTTGCTCTACAACACACTAGTGTGCTGTACTGTATTATGGATGATTTAGCTTCTGCCTAAATCCAACTGACCAGGATAGGAGTTTCACTTGGAAGAGTGATGCGGGTCAGCTAAATTAACCCAAAAAAAAGCGTTGGCGTATATCAAAGTAGAAACGACAATGACGCCAACCAAAATCAGAGCAAAGGTTGCCAAAGCGAAATCATATCATCACTGTGGTGGCCGTGTGGTGGAACACCTGATGATCACGTGATGGTCATGTGGTTGTCACTATGGTGACCACTTGATGGTCACATAGTCGTCACTGTGGTGGCCACGTGGTGGTCACCTGATGATCACGTGATGGTCATGTGGTCGTCACTATGGTGACCACTTAATGGTCACATGGTTGTCACCGCGGTGGCCACGTGGTGGTCACGTGGTAGCCACTTGTTGGTTACTACGATGGTTGCTAGTGGCCACGTGGTGGTCACTGTGTTGGCCACGTGATGGTCACGTGGTAGCCACTTGTTGGTTACTACGATGGTGACTAGTGGCCACGTGGTGGTCACTGTGGTGGCCACGTGATGGTCACGTGGTACCCACTTGTTGGTTACTACGATGGTTACTAGTGGCCACGTGGTGGTCACTGTGGTGGCCACGTGATGGTCGATGCGGTAGCCACTTGTTGGTTACTACGATGGTTACTAGTGGCCACGTGGTGGTTACTGTGGTGGCCACGTGATGGTCACGTGGTAGCCACTTGCTGGTTACTACGATGGTTACTAGTGGCCATGTAGTGGTCACGTGGTAGCCACTTGCTGGTTACTACGATGGTGACTAGTGGCCACGTGGTGGTCACTGTGGTGGCCACGTGATGGTCACGTGGTAGCCACTTGCTGGTTACCACGATGGTGACTAGTGGCCACGTGGTGGTCACTGTGGTGGCCACTTGCTGGTTACCACGATGGTGAATAGTGGCCACGTGGTGGTCACTGTGGTGGCCACGTGATGGTCGACGCGGTAGCCACTTGTTGGTTACTACGATGGTTACTAGTGGCCACGTGATGGTCGACGCGGTACCCACTTGTTGGTTACTACGATGGTTACTAGTGGCCACGTGATGGTCACTGTGGTGGCCACGTGATGGTCGTCACGTGGTAGCCACTTGCTGGTCACCACGATGGTCACTGGTGGCCGGGCGGTGGTCACTGCGGTCACCTTGGGCAAGGAGGTTCGCGATCCGCTGCTCTGCGTGGTCATGGTGAGGATCGTGGTCATGCCGAGCGCGACGCGCGCCGGCGCTGACTCCATGTTCACCCAGAAGGCAGCCCACGAGATGATCACGATGAGCAGGGTGGGGATGTAGATCTGGAGCATGTAGTAGCCAATCTTGCGGCGCAGGGAGAACGTCGCGCGGACGCACGTGAAGTTGCCTGGGGCGAAGTGAAGCCACGCGGGAGGTAATGTGAAAGAAAAAAAAACCAAACAATCTCACGCGGAGAGGGCGGGGCTGAGAGACGGACGGTGGGACATATTAGCATGAGAAGTCTTCGTGTTGTCTGTGTGTTGGCTGTGTGTTTGTCTCTGCTTGTGTGTCTGCCTTTGTGTCCGTGCTTGGGTCTGTGTCTCTGTGCTGTCTCTGCCTGTGTTGTGTGGGTCTTGGTGCTTCCGAATGTTTGCTGCCGTGCTCCACTTTGCTCTATGCATACCTCATGCTAATATGTCTCTTTGTCTCTCAGCCTTGCCTTCTCGTGCTAATATGTCCCGTTGTCTCTCAGCCTTGCCTTCTCGTGCTAATATGTCCCGTTGTCTCTCAGCCTTGCCTTCTCTGCCTATTTAAGGCGACTTCACTGTGTGCTTGTACCTGTGCTGCTCCGCTCTACTTGAATGTCTATGTGTGTGTGTGCCGTCTGTATCTTAAATTTTATACTTTACTTGCAATTTAGCAATCTTTGAAATAACGTCATCAACCAGGCTATGCGATAATTGTGTTTTGAGCGACCGTCTGTGTTTCTTTATATGGTTTCCAAATTCTGCTAAACTCTGTCTGTTTGGTATGCTTCTCTCTCTGTGTCCCCTATTGTGTCGGTGTTAGTTCCCCCTACTTGGGTGTCTGTGTATACATCTGGGGTTATGTGTTTCCCCTCTCTCTTAAATTTAGCTCTTCTCTACCTGATGATGGCTGCTTGTGTTGCAACCGAAACGTCGTATGCTATTATGTCATTTTATTATTTCCTATTTATACGCGACTTTACCGAAAGAAAAAAAAAACAAAGATTAATTCCTGCAGTCACGAAAGCTTCGAACCAAGTTTCATCTCATTCACTTTTAACTTTTCTGGCTGGCTTGTCGGAAATGGAAGCATTGAGTCCCAGTGGGATGCTGAGACCCCACCCCCACCCCCCTCATCCTCCCCCTCCACGACAAACACAGATTCCTGTGCTATGAGGCTCGCCACCTCGCTGTCCCTTCCCTCCGTGATCGTATTCATAATGCAGGCTTGGGTTTGACATGAACAGTTGGCTCATGCTCCAAGATTAGTGTGTAAGCCAACCCGAGCTAGATAATAAAAAAAAACAACTAACGACTGTTGAATTTGTGTTTGAAACATGGCCCTGATGTTGACTTGTTTTATTTGGTTTGCCTCCATTGCTTTGTCCGGGGGAAAACCTCCTCGAGTCTCGAGACATTTTCCGGAGGGCCCTTCTAAGATGTCATAATTATTGGGGGGGGGAGCGGCGGGCGGGGGGGGGTCACACTTCCTTTTCTGTTTCCCAACTGAGTCATTCAACTTTCCATCTTTTTTAATTGAAAGGTAACGCCGGCACGCCCATAACCTCCTCGTTGAATATATCATAATCTGCGAGACTGCAGGAATTCCATCGAGTTATGTTGAAGGTCCAATGGCGGAGCCAGTGGGGGGGGGGTGGGGGTGGCACGTGCCCCCCCCCCCCCAATGATCCGATCGAAATCCCTAATTTCGATCGGATCATCGGGGTTTATTCGTAATAAATCGGCATTTTGCGACCCCCCACTGCCACTGCGTAGCATATTATGACATGCCAGGGACTCTATGAGATGGTAGGATAATAGTCTGAGTCCATAATTGGCAATAAGTAACGGCAAAGCGGTTATAAGTGACTCACAGAATTGTGCGCGGCTGCGTATGCGATGCACGACTTCCCTGAAGGCATCGACACCTTCAGCGAGCGCGATGCCGATCACTAACAACGCGGTTCGAATTCTACCTACGATCGATGGCTGGGCCATCGCGGCACAAGCGTCGAATGGAAAGCAAGGGACACAAGTCCTTACTTACCAACAACTCCTCTATCATTTTTCATTGCTGGAGGGATTGCCGTCCCCTACCTGAAGATCCTGGCTTCGCCATTGTGAAGGTCTGTTTCACACCCGTGGCATTAACCGGGGGTGGACCCATGGGCTGAGAACCATACAGCTCTGCAACAAGCCACCCAAACCATCCATGAAACAAATTAAATCGTCACGTGCTGCGGGTTTTCAACGCGCCGTTCCATCATTACCGCGTCAAGAGCACGGAGAGAAATCCTCGCAGCCAAATGCAGAAATGGGTTAAAATAAACTATTAGCTATTTTTGTTGTTTTACCAGGTAAGGCGCAACTGAGCTATGTGGCTCTTTGTCAGAGTCGACCTGGCTACCACAAGCGATAGCTCAACGAAGTCTCTTATCGTCGTGTGGAAATGTACATCAGCGAAATACTCTGAAGGCGTGTTTCTAAGTGTGGAGGGAAAAATCGGAGAAAAATCCACGCAACCACGAGGAGAGAGACATACAAGCTCCAAATATACATCAGCAGGCGTCAGGGTCGGGATCAAACCCACGACCTCCTCTATACCAGGCGAGGTAGTTAACATCTCCTAGCCACCGTGATTATGATAATGAGAGAGATGCAAACTCCAAATATACATCAGCAGGCGTCAGGATCGGGATCAAACCCACAACCTCCTCTATACCAGACTAGGTAGTTAACATCTCCTAGCCACCGTGGTGCCCAAATAACATGACGAATCACAGGAAAACTGCATCAAGCATCTTCAGGACGCACCTCGGAGGAAATCAGAACTAATAATAACGAGGAGGACGTGGAGCATGAGGGAATGGAGGTGGTTGTGGCATAGGAGATGGAGGAGGCAGCGACGGAGGAAGTGGTATTGGTGGTTGAGGAGGAGCAGGGACGAGAAGGAGGCGATTCCCACGTGGAGTGCTCAGTGGGTGAAGGTGAGTGCCTCCTACCCACCCGTGCTGAAGTTCTTGGTGCAGTCCTCATGCAGGATTTTGTCTCCCAGCTTGAACTCGGGTATGGTGATCTGGTCGCTGTTCTCCACGGGATTCCCCAAGCTCCAGCGGAACACGATATCTCTGGTCGACATGCTGTCTGCGACGCTCAAGAGAGCACGGGGGAAAGCATTCGGGTTGCTCTGATTTAATTGTCTTCACGATAATGGGAACAATATTTTATTATGAAAATAGATTGGGTTTTTTTCCTTTTTTTGATGGCAACAAAACAGCTGCGTTAAGATGTTAAAACACCAAACTGAAACCTTTCACAATGAATCATGTCTGCATTAACCACAATGCTTGTGGTCAGGATGCTAACAAAAAAACACACTCTGATGATATGTGCATTGTGTTTTAAAACGGATTGGTCCACACCAGAGACAGCTCTTTTGGGAGTTGTCTCAAAGCGGTGTTAGACCAGAGGACGCCTTCTGGTGTGTACCAATCCGTTTCAAAGACAATGCGTCATATTATCTTAGTGTGTGTTTTGTTTGCATTCTGACCACCAAGTATTGTGGTTAATGCAGACATGATTCCTTGTAAAAGGTTTCCGTTTGGTGTTTAAACATCTTGACACAGCTGTTTTGTTGCCAGAAAAATGGGAAAAACTATTCTCATATTTTGGTACTGGCAAAGGAGGTCCCAATGATGTATTAGTACATTTACTATTCGTCCTGATAATTGTGCGATTCTGGCATGGTGTCTCAACTCAGCCTCTTGGCCTCTCAGCTCAAGCCACTTGGCCTCTCAACTCAGGCCACTTGGCCTCTCAATTCAGGCCTCTTGGCCTATCAATTCAGGCCTCTTGGCCTATCAACTCAGGCCTCTTGGCCTCTCAATTCAGGCTTTTTGGCCCCTCAATTCAGGCTTCTTGGCCTCAACTCAGGCCACTTGGCCTCTCAACTCAGGCCTCTTGGCCTATCAACTCAGGCCTCTTGGCCTATCAACTCAGGCCTCTTGGCCTCTCAACTCAGGCCACTTGGCCTCTCAATTCAGGCCTCTTGGCCTATCAATTCAGGCCTCTTGGCCTATCAACTCAGGCCTCTTGGCCCCTCAATTCAGGACTCTTGGCCTCTCAACTCAGGCCACTTGGCCTCTCAACTCAGGCCTCTTGACCTCTCAACTCAGGCTTCTTGGCCTATCAACTCAGGCCTCTTGGCCTCTCAACTCAAGCCACTTGGCCCCTCAACTCAGGCCTCTTTGCCTCTCAATTCAAGCTTCTTGGCCTATCAACTCAGGCCTCTTGGCCTCTCAATTCAGGCCTCTTGACCTCTCAACTCAGGCCACTTGGCCTCTCAACTCAGGCCTCTTGGCCTCTCAACTCAGGCTTCTTGGCCTCTCAACTCAGGCTTCTTGGCCTCTCAACTCAGGCTTCTTGGCTTATCAACTCAAGCTTCTTGGCCTCTCAACTCAGGCCTCTTGGCCTCTCAACTCAGGCCTCTTGGCCTCTCAACTCAGTCCTCTTGGCCTCTCAACTCAGGCTTCTTGGCCTCTCAACTCAGGCCTCTTGGCCTCTCAACTCAGGCTTCTTCGCCTATCAACTCAGGCTTCTTGGCCTCTCAACTCAGGCCTCTTGGCCTCTCAACTCAGGCCTCTTGGCCTCTCAACTCAGGCTTCTTGGCCTCTCAACTCAGGCCTCTTGGCCTATCAACTCAGGCTTCTTGGCCTATCAACTCAAGCTTCTTGGCCTATCAACTCAGGCTTCTTGGCCTATCAACTCAGGCCTCTTGGCCTATCAACTTAGACATCTTGGCCTCTCAACTCAGGCCTCTTGACCTATCAACTCAGGCTTCTTGGCCTATCAACTCAGGCCTCTTGGCCTATCAACTCAGGCTTCTTGGCCTATCAACTCAGGCTTCTTGGCCTATCAACTCAGGCCTCTTGGCCTATCAACTTAGACATCTTCGCCTCTCAACTCAGGCCTCTTGGCCTATCAACTCAGGCTTCTTGGCCTATCAACTCAGGCTTCTTGGCCTATCAACTCAGGCTTCTTGGCCTCTCAACTCAGGCTTGCGCCACGCAGTTGGTTCGAAAGCCACATCAGTGGAGGGTGGAGCGTGGGACGAGGGAGGATGACAAAAATGAATCGCTTGAGACTTGATGAGACATTTGCAGGCTCGTGTGGCGACGTGGACGAGTCACTCACAGCTCTCCAGGTATATACTGCACGTCACCACGTCGGCGGGGAATTGGCGAAGATTCATCGGGCAGTCTAAAGTCAGAGATAGCCTGGCGAGATAATCATCAACAGCAGCAGTATCATGATAAATGATCAGAATTAGCAGCATTACGAGCTTCATCATCATCCGCAACGACAACAGCATCGTCATCACCATCATCAGCAACAGCAACAACATCGTCATCATCATCAGCAACAGCACCAACGACAACAACAGCATCGTCATCGCCATCATCAGCAACAGCAACAACATCGTCATCATCATCATCAGCAACAGCACCAACGACAACAACAGCATCGTCATCACCATTATCATCTTCAGCAACAACAACAGCATCGTCATCGCCATTATCATCAGCAGCAGCAGCAGCAACAACAACAGCATCGTCATCACCATCATCAGCAACAACATCGTCATCATCAGCAGCAGCAACAACAACAGCATCGTCATCACCATCATCAGCAACAGCAACAACATCATCATCACCATCATCAGCAGCAGCAGCAACAACAACAGCATCGTCATCACCATCATCAGCAACAGCAACAACATCGTCATCACCATCATCATCATCAGCAACAACGACAACAACAGCATCGTCATCACCATCATCTTCAGCAACAACAACAGCATCATCATCGGCATCATCAGCAGCAACAGCATCGTCATCGCCATCATCATCAGCAGCAGCAACAACAACAGCATCGTCATCACCATCATCATCTTCAGCAACAACAGCATCATCATCTTCAGCAACAACAACAACATCGTCATCGCCATCATCAGCAGCAACAGCATCGTCATCGCCATCATCATCAGCAGCAGCAACAACAACAGCATCGTCATCACCATCATCTTCAGCAACAACATCGTCGTCGCCATCATCATCAGCAGCAGCAGCAACAACAGCATCGTCATTACCATCATCATCATCTTCAGCAACAACACCAGCATCATCATCTTCAGCAACAACAACAGCATCATCATCTTCAGCAGCAACAACATCGTCATCGCCATCATCAGCAGCAGCAGCAACAACAGCATCGTCATCACCACCCGCACTTACGAACGCCCCGCACTTACGCGCGAACCTCACTTACACACGACCCTCACGCAAGAACCTCACTTACACACGACCCTTACGCACGAACCTCACTTACGCACGACCCTCACGCAAGAACCTCACTTACACACGAACCTCACTTACACACGACCCTTACGCACGAACCTCACTTACACACGACCCTCACGCAAGAACCTCACTTACACACGAACCTCACTTACACACGACCCTTACGCACGAACCTCACTTACACACGACCCTCACGCAAGAACCTCACTTACACACGACCCTCACGCAAGAACCTCACTTACACACGACCCTTACGCACGAACCTCACTTACGCACGACCCTCACGCAAGAACCTCACTTACACATGACCCTCACTTACGAACGCAACCCGCACTTAGGAACCCCCCCCCCCCCCCCTTAATGTCCGTAAGTAGTGGAGTCCCTGCAGTTGAGTTTAAAGAATCGACAGTCACGTTCCTAAATGTAGAGGTTGGGGGATGGTGACAAGGGGTGAAAACCGGAGGGAGCCAAAAACACAAATCCACGCCACCACCACCACCACCACCCTGCGCCTCCAGAGCGGTAAGACCCGGGCCAAGTCGGCCCCGGCACGGCTCGGCTGTGCCAGTGGGAGGGCGGGGAAAAAAACAAAAAAAAAAACAAAAATCCCATTGGCTGGCGGCAGGCGGGGTGGTTGAAGGGGCGCCGGGCGGACCTGGTGGAGTAAAAGACGTCCCCGTTGGCGAAGACTCGCAGCATCGTGTTGTCGGCGGTGCCCGCGTGCGGGGCGGCTGTCTTCTCGTTGGAGAAGTACGCGTCGGGCTTCCAGACGGACGCGGCCGCCTCGGGGCTCAGGTCGAGCCAGCCGAGGCCCGCGGGGCCCGCGAGGGCCAGCCGCTCGTCGCTCCACCGCTGGCGCAGGAACAGGGTCGCCTTGTAGTCCTGCGGGAAGGCGGAGGCGAAGGGAAACCCCGAGCCTAACATCTGCTGGATATTTGGAGTTTTGCGTGTCTCTCTCCACGTGCTCGCGTGGATTTCCCCCGGGTCCTCCGTTTTTTTTTGTTTTCCCCCACCCCCCACCCCCCCCCACACTACACATTTCGGATCGACGCCATCCGTTTGGAGGATTTGGCTGCTGCTATAGATGTTCACACGATGATGATATCAGCCCACTTGGTTCAGCTGCTGTCAGTTGTGGTAGCCGGGGAATCGCGTCTGAAAAAAACAGCTACTTAGAATCTCAGTGGAGCCTTAGATGGTAAAATAAAAGTTTAGGTGGGTCTCAATAAGTATATCTCGCTGTGGATCTATATGCGTCTCTATGAGTATGGGATCTCTGTAGGTCTCTGGATATCTGTATAGGTGTCTGTGGATCTGTATAGGTCTCTATGAGTATGGGTCTCGGTGGATGGGTCTCTGTGGGTCTCTGGATATCCGTATGGGTCTATTTGGATATGTATGGGTCTCTATGAGTATGGGTCTCTGTGGGTTTGTATAGGTCTCCATGAGTATAGGTCTCTTTGGGTCTCTGTATATCTGTATGGGACTCGGTGGGTCTTTATGGGTCTCTATGAGTACGGGTCTCTATGAGTATAGGTCTCTATGAGTATGGGTCTCTTTGGATATCTGTATGGGTCTCTGTGGGTTTGTATGGGTCTCTATGAGTATGGGTCTCTATGAGTGTGGGTCTCTATGAGTATGGGTCTCAATGAGTATGGGTCTCTATGAGTGTGAGTCTCTATGAGTATGGGTCTCTATGAGTATGGGTCTCTGTGGATATCTGTATGGGTCTCTATGAGTATGGGTCTCTATGAGTATGGGTCTCTATGAGTGTGGGTCTCTATGAGTATGGGTCTTTATGAGTATGGGTCTCTATGAGTGTGGGTCTCTATGAGTGTGGGTCCCTATGAGTGTGGGTCTCTATGAGTATGGGTCTCTATGAGTATAGGTCTCTATGAGTATGGGTCTCTATGAGTATGGGTCTCTATGAGTATAGGTCTCTATGAGTATGGGTCTCTATGAGTGTGGGTCTCTATGACTGGGTCTATGAGTGTGGGTCTCTATGAGTGTGGGTCTCTATGAATGTGGGTCTCTATGAGTGTGGGTCTCTATGAGTATGGGTCTCTATGAGTATGGGTCTCTATGAGTATGGGTCTCTATGAGTATGGGTCTCTATGAGTATAGGTCTCTATGAGTATGGGTCTCTATGAGTATAGGTCTCTATAAGTATGGGTCTCTATGAGTATAGGTCTCTATGAGTATGGGTCTCTATGAGTATAGGTCTCTATAAGTATGGGTCTCTATGAGTATAGGTCTCTATGAGTATGGGTCTCTATGAGTATGGGTCTCTATGGGTATAGGTCTCTATGAGTATGGGTCTCTATGAGTATGGGTCTCTATGAGTATAGGTCTCTATGAGTATGGGTCTCTATGAGTATAGGTCTCTATAAGTATGGGTCTCTATGACTGTGGGTCTCTATGACTATAGGTCTCTATGAGTATGGGTCTCTATGGGTATAGGTCTCTATGAGTCTGTAGAAACATGCGTTTAGAGAGTGTGTGGCTGCTGCTATACATTTCCACGCGATGACGATGACGATGACAAACCAACATCGTTGAGCTGCTATATGTTGTGATAGCCAGGGGGTCGCTTCTGAAAACGAGCTACACCTGGCTATAAAAAATAAAATAGTTGATAGATTATTTGAGACGCGAATAAGCTCTCACCATGCTTGTTTCTTCAACGGATCCCAGGCTTGTGATGTACAGGCTACAGTTCACGGTCACGGGAGGACCTGCATCGCGTAAGATAAACCATCGACAGAAAGGGAGTGTGTCAGTCACTTCATGTGATTTGCAGTTTAAACATCAATATTCTAAACCGCGACCAGCAGACCGATCTCTGGCGACCGTTTGTGTTACGGTCGAAACGTCGTGGGAATTTTTATTGTTTTATATATATTTTATTATTTTATTGTTTCCCTTCAACTTGACTTTACCGAAAGAACTAGAAATATGAATTACTGCAGTCACGAAAGCTTTAAATCTCTAGACAATGTTAGACAGACAGAGGGGTCTCTGGTGGTGTCTCTAGACAATGTTAGACAGACAGAGGGGTCTCTGGTGGGGTCTCTAGACAATGTTAGATAGACAGAGGGGTCTCTGGTGGTGTCTCTAGACAATGTTAGACAGACAGAGGGGTCTCTGGTGGGGTCTCTAGACAATGTTAGACAGACAGAGGGGTCTCTGGTGGTGTCTCTAGACAATGTTAGACAGACAGAGGGGTCTCTGGTGGTGTCTCTAGACAATGTTAGACAGACAGAGGGGTCTCTGGTGGGGTCTGTAGACAATGTTAGACAGACAGAGGGGTCTCTGGTGAGGTCTCTAGACAATGTTAGACAGACAGAGGGGTCTCTGGTGGTGTCTCTAGACAATGTTAGACAGACAGAGGGGTCTCTGGTGGGGTCTCTAGACAATGTTAGACAGACAGAGGGGTCTCTGGTAGGGGTCTCTAGACAATGTTAGACAGACAGAGGGGTCTCTGTTGGGGTCTCTAGACAATGTTAGACAGACAGAGGGGTCTCTGGTGGGGTCTGTAGACAATGTTAGACAGACAGAGGGGTCTCTGGTGGTGTCTCTAGACAATGTTAGACAGACAGAGGTGTCTCTGGTGGGGTCTGTAGACAATGTTAGACAGACAGAGGGGTCTCTGGTGGTGTCTCTAGACAATGTTAGACAGACAGAGGTGTCTCTGGTGGGGTCTCTAGACAATGTTAGACAGACAGAGGTGTCTCTGGTGGGGTCTCTAGACAATGTTAGACAGACAGAGGGGTCTCTGGTGGGGTCTCTAGACAATGTTAGATAGACAGAGGGGTCTCTGGTGGGGGTCTCTAGACAATGTTAGACAGACAGAGGGGTCTCTGGTGGGGTCTCTAGACAATGTTAGATAGACAGAGGGGTCTCTGGTGGTGTCTGTAGACAATGTTAGACAGACAGAGGGGTCTCTGGTGGTGTCTCTAGGCAATGTTAGATAGACAGAGGGGTCTCTGGTGGGGTCTCTAGACAGTGTTAGATAGACAGAGGGGTCTCTGGTGGGGGTCTCTAGCCAATGTTAGACAGACAGAGGGGTCTCTGGTGGGGTCTCTAGACAATGTTAGATAGACAGAGGGGTCTCTGGTGGGGGTCTCTAGACAATGTTAGACAGACAGAGGGTCTCTGGTGGGGTCTCTAGACAATGTTAGACAGACAGAGGGGTCTCTGGTGGGGTCTCTAGACAATGTTAGACAGACAGAGGGGTCTCTGGTGGGGTCTCTAGACAATGTTAGACAGAAAGAGGGGTCTCTGGTGGGGTGTCTAGACAATGTTAGACAGACAGAGGGGTCTCTGGTGGGGTCTATAGACAATGTTAGACAGACAGATGGGTCTCTGGTGGTGTCTCTAGACAATGTTAGACAGACAGAGGGGTCTCTGGTGGGGTCTCTAGACAATGTTAGACAGACAGAGGGGTCTCTGGTGGGGTCTCTAGACAATGTTAGACAGACAGAGGTGTCTCTGCTGGTGTCTCTAGACAATGTTAGACAGACAGAGAGGTCTCTGGTGGGGTCTCTAGACAATGTTAGACAGACAGAGGGGTCTCTTGTGGGGGTCTCTCGGCAATGTTAGACAGACAGAGGGGTCTCTGGTGGTGTCTCTAGACAATGTTAGACAGACAGAGGGGTCTCTAGTGGGGTCTCTAGACAATGTTAGACAGACAGAGGGGTCTCTGGTGGGGGTCTTAGACAATGTTAGACAGACAGAGGGGTCTCTGGTGGGGGTCTCTGGACAATGTTAGACAGACAGAGGGGTCTCTGGTGGGGTCTCTAGACAATGTTAGACAGACAGAGGGGTCTCTGGTGGGGTCTCTAGACAATGTTAGACAGACAGAGGGGTCTCTGGTGGGGTCTCTAGACAATGTTAGACAGACAGAGGGGTCTCTGGTGGGGTCTCTGGACAATGTTAGACAGACAGAGGGGTCTCTGGTGGTGTCTCTAGACAATGTTAGACAGACAGAGGTGTCTCTGGTGGGGTCTGTAGACAATGTTAGACAGACAGAGGTGTCTCTGGTGGGGTCTGTAGACAATGTTAGACAGACAGAGGGGTCTCTGGTGGGGTGTCTAGACAATGTTAGACAGACAGAGGGGTCTCTGGTAGGGTCTCTAGACAATGTTAGACAGACAGAGGGGTCTCTGGTGGGGTCTCTAGACAATGTTAGACAGACAGAGGTGTCTCTGGTGGGGTCTGTAGACAATGTTAGACAGACAGAGGGGTCTCTGGTGGGGTGTCTAGACAATGTTAGACAGACAGAGGGGTCTCTGGTGGGGTCTCTAGACAATGTTAGACAGAGAGAGGGGTCTCTGGTGGGGGTCTCTAGACAATGTTAGACAGACAGAGGGGTCTCTGGTGGTGTCTCTAGACAATGTTAGACAGACAGAGGGGTCTCTGGTGGGGTCTCTAGACAATGTTAGACAGACAGAGGGGTCTCTGGTGGGAGTCTCTAGACAATGTTAGATAGACAGAGGGGTCTCTGGTGGGGTCTCTAGACAATGTTAGACAGACAGAGGGGTCTCTGGTGGGGTCTCTAGACAATGTTAGACAGACAGAGGGGTCTCTGGAGGGGTCTCTAGACAATGTTAGACAGACAGAGGGGTCTCTGGTGGTGTCTCTAGACAATGTTAGACAGATAGAGGGGTCTCTGGTGGGGTCTCTAGACAATGTTAGATAGACAGAGGGGTCTCTGGTGGGGTCTCTATACAATGTTAGACAGACAGAGGGGTCTCTGGTGGGGGTCTTAGACAATGTTAAACAGACAGAGGGGTCTCTGGTGGGGTCTCTAGACAATGTTAGATAGACAGAGGGGTCTCTGGTGGGGTCTCTAGACAATGTTAGACAGACAGAGGGGTCTCTGGTGGGGGTCTCTGGACAATGTTAGACAGACAGAGGGGTCTCTTGTGGGGTCTCTAGACAATGTTAGACAGACAGAGGGGTCTCTGGTGGGGGTCTCTAGACAATGTTAGACAGACAGAGGGGTCTCTGGTGGGGTCTCTAGACAATGTTAGACAGACAGAGGTGTCTCTGGTGGGGTGTCTAGACAATGTTAGACAGACAGAGGGGTCTCTGGTGGGGTCTCTAGACAATGTTAGACAGACAGAGGGGTCTCTGGAGGGGTCTCTAGACAATGTTAGACAGACAGAGGGGTCTCTGGTGGTGTCTCTAGACAATGTTAGACAGATAGAGGGGTCTCTGGTGGGGTCTCTAGACAATGTTAGATAGACAGAGGGGTCTCTGGTGGGGTCTCTAGACAATGTTAGACAGACAGAGGGGTCTCTGGTGGGGTCTCTGGACAATGTTAGACAGACAGAGGGGTCTCTGGTGGTGCCTCTAGACAATGTTAGACAGACAGAGGTGTCTCTGGTGGGGTCTGTAGACAATGTTAGACAGACAGAGGTGTCTCTGGTGGGGTCTGTAGACAATGTTAGACAGACAGAGGGGTCTCTGGTGGGGTGTCTAGACAATGTTAGACAGACAGAGGGGTCTCTGGTAGGGTCTCTAGACAATGTTAGACAGACAAAGGGGTCTCTGGTGGGGTCTCTAGACAATGTTAGACAGACAGAGGTGTCTCTGGTGGGGTCTGTAGACAATGTTAGACAGACAGAGGGGTCTCTGGTGGGGTCTGTAGACAATGTTAGACAGACAGAGGGGTCTCTGGTGGGGTGTCTAGACAATGTTAGACAGACAGAGGGGTCTCTGGTGGGGTCTCTAGACAATGTTAGACAGAGAGAGGGGTCTCTGGTGGGGGTCTCTAGACAATGTTAGACAGACAGAGGGGTCTCTGGTGGGGGTCTGTAGACAATGTTAGACAGACAGAGGGGTCTCTGGTGGGGTCTCTAGACAATGTTAGACAGACAGAGGGGTCTCTGGTGGGAGTCTCTAGACAATGTTAGACAGACAGAGGGGTCTCTGGTGGGGTCTCTAGACAATGTTAGACAGACAGAGGGGTCTCTGTTGGTGTCTCTAGACAATGTTAGACAGACAGAGGGGTCTCTGGTGGGGTCTGTAGACAATGTTAGATAGACAGAGGCGTCTCTGGTAGGGGTCTCTAGACAATGTTAGACAGACAGAGGGGTCTCTGGTGGGGTCTCTAGACAATGTTAGACAGACAGAGGGGTCTCTGGTAGCGTCTTTAGACAATGTTAGACAGACAGAGGGGTCTCTGGTGGGGTGTCTAGACAATGTTAGACAGACAGAGGGGTCTCTGGTGGGGTCTCTAGACAATATTAGACAGACAGAGGTGTCTCTGGTAGGGTCTCTAGACAATGTTAGATAGACAGAGGGGTCTCTAGTGGGGTCTCTAGCCAATGTTAGACAGACAGAAGTGTCTCTGGTAGGGTCTCTAGACAATGTTAGATAGACAGAGGGGTCTCTGGTGGGGGTCTCTAGACAATGTTAGACAGACAGAGGGGTCTCTGGTGGTGTCTCTAGACAATGTTAGACAGACAGAGGGGTCTCTGGTAGGGTCTCTAGACAATGTTAGACAGAGGGGTCTCTGGTGGGGTCTCTAGACAATGTTAGACAGACAGAGGGGTCGCTGGTGGGGTCTCTAGACAATGTTAGACAGACAGAGGCGTCTCTGCTGGTGTCTCTAGACAATGTTAGCCAGACAGAGGGGTCTGTGGTGGGGTCTCTAGACAATGTTAGATAGACAGAGGTGCCTCTCGTGGGGTGTCTAGACAATGTTAGACAGACAGAGGGGTCTCTGGTGGGGGTCTTAGACAATGTTAGACAGACAGAGGGGTCTCTGGTAGCGTCTCTAGACAATGTTAGACAGACAGAAGTATCTCTGGTGGGGTCTCTAGACAATGTTAGACAGACAGAGGGGTCTCTGTAACGTCGTTACCCCGTGCCCCGACCGGACATTTGTGACACAGAGAGCTTCATAGCTCTTCGGATTCCTCCTGCAGTCTAAATTTCCGGCTTGTGCCACTCCACACGGACGAATTGGAAGTACCACACCGGTGCGGCATAACAGCATCACACCACACAGCAGGGCCCTCATGAACCAGCCTGACCGATGTCACCATTCGCCTCCTGAGTGGAGCCACGAAATTCCACAAGCGAATCGATGGAGTGGGGGGGGGGTGGGGTGGACGAATCCCGCCGCCTTTTGGGGGGGCAACACGGATCCGGCCCATTTGGAGTCTCACATCAGGGCTGGGTTCGGAAGTTTTTGTTGTTGTCGCTGCTGCTTTACGGCAACAGATTGTGTGGAAGCTTTCGATTTCAAGCTTTCGTGACTGCAACGGATTCATCCATCTTCTTTGGTTCTTTCGGTAAAAGTCACCACCACCACCACGTAGAATGAGAATAAAATAATAAAGTAATAAAATAAGACAATACAATTCTCACGACGTTTTTTATTTCATTATTTTATTCTCATTCTACGTGGTGGTGACTTCACCGACAGAGCCAAAGAAGGTGAATCCTTGCAGTCACGAAAGCTTTAAAAATCGAAACTGAACTTAGATGGCATTGGGAGGCTCCCAGGTGGCGAGAGATGTCACCTCCCTCGCCCGGTGTGCGGGAGGTCGTCCCTTCACCTGACGAAGGCCGCTTGTGTCGTGGCCGAAACGTCGTGAGAATTTCATCGCGTTATTTTACCTTATCAACTTATTATTCTATTCTCATTCGACGTGGCGGTGACTTTACCGAGAGAACCAAACAAGAAGATGATTCATCTTCTTTGGTTCTTTCGCTAAAGTCACCAGGCAGAATGAGAATAAAATAATAAATTGATAAAATAAAATAACACAATAATATTCTCACGACGTTTCGGCCACAACACAAGCGGCCTTCATCAGGTGAAGGGGGCGAGACTGTCTGGTAGGACAGCGCTGGAGTGAAAGAGCCACGTTCAGATCACGGCCTTTAAGCTGTGTGAGAAGAAACAAAGCGTCTTGACAAAGGAATTAGCATATAATTTAGCATTGAAATGGCTGAGTGATTAGCTTGTGACTGGTCACAGAAATAGCTATGTTAAAAGTTAAAGCATACACATCCGCAGAGGCACCCCTTGTTAAATCGAAAAAGAAGATGATTGGTTGTGGAAGTTTCGTGTGCTCAGCCGGCTCGCGTGAACACCCGCCCTTGCGAGCACATCGCGAGAAAGTGATGTTGGCCCACCGCCAACACTGCCCACACCATCAAACACCACCACCTCCGCCACCAGCACCACGGACAGCACCACGGACAGCACCGCCACCGCCAGCACCACGGACAGCACCACGGACAGCACCACGGACAGCACCACGGACAGCACCACCATAATTGCCGCGGTGCCAGATAATTATCAATGGTCGAGCGCGTGTAGCACACACACGCGCACACACACACACACGCACGCACACACACGCACACACACACACGCACACACACACACACACAGACACACACACATACACACACACGCACACACACACACGCACACACACACACACGCACGCGCACACACACACGCACACACACACACGCACACACACACGCACACACACACACGCACAACACACACACGCACAACACACACACACGCACACACACACGCACACACACACACGCACACACACACACACGCACACACGCGCGCGCGCGCGTCCCGGTGTGACCGCCGATGACGTTCGCATTGTGAGCGAGTCTCTCCCGTTACCGTCCGCGTCCGGCCTGATGCTGGGATTGTAGGTGGAGGCGTTCCCAATCAACGTCCACAGCTGGTCAAAGGGCAGCCCCTGTGACGAGGCCGCCGGCGGCAGCAGCAGCACCAGGCTGGAACGACACCGACACCGACAACTACGACAACCATGACAGCAACAACAACAACAACAACACCGACAACTACGACAACCATGACAGCAGCAACAACAACAACAACGACAACAACAACACAATGCAACGCGAACCGGTGGCGAGACCACAGAGCGAGGGTACGCCCGTGGAGGTGTTGCGGGTACAGACGGACGGCACAACCGGAGTTTCGCGTGACATCCCCTGATGCGCTAAGCACACAGACAGAGAGAGAGAGAGGGAGAGGCGCAGCTGATTAACCGGGGCGGCCTGCCTGACGGAGTCGAACCGCGAATATCGGTAACAAAACAACAACAACAACAACAACAACAACAAAAAATACCCCGCTGGGCTTTGTGTGAAAGATTAGGCGGTGGTTTTCTCTTTTTTTCCTCGTGCACTTTTGCGGTGAAGTATGGTCAAAATAACTAGAGCAACCCCCCCAGGACCTGTACGGCATGAGTTGGCCCACAACATACAGAGACCCCACAGAGACCCACAGAGACCCACAGAGACCCACAGGGACCCCACAGGGACCCCACAGAGACCCCACAGAGACTCACAGAGACCCCACAGAGACCCACAGAGACCCCACAGAGACCCACAGAGACCCCACAGAGACCCCACAGAGACCCCACAGAGACCCAAGAGACCCACAGAGACCCACAGAGACCCCACAGAGACCCACAGAGACCCACAGAGACCCCACAGAGACCCCACAGAGACCCACAGAGACCCCACAGAGACTCACAGAGACCCACAGAGACCCCACAGAGACCTACAGAGACCCCACAGAGACTCACAGAGACCCACAGAGACCCCACAGAGACCCACAAAGACCCCACAGAGACTCACAGAGACCCCACAGAGACCCCACAGAGACCCCACAGAGACCCAACAGAGACCCACAGAGACCCACAGAGACCCCACAGAGACCCACAGAGACCCACAGAGACCCCACAGAGACCCCACAGAGACTCACAGAGACCCCACAGAGACCCCACAGAGACTCACAGAGACCCCACAGAGACCCACAGAGACCCACAGAGACCCCACAGAGACCCACAGAGACCCCACAGAGACCCACAGAGACCCCAGAGACCCACAGAGACCCCACAGAGACCCCACAGAGACCCACAGAGACCCCAGAGACCCCAGAGACCCACAGAGACCCACAGAGACCCCACAGAGACCCACAGAGACCCACAGAGACCCCACAGAGACCCCACAGAGACTCACAGAGACCCCACAGAGACCCACAGAGACCCACAGAGACCCCACAGAGACGCCACAGGGACCCACAGAGACCCACAGAGACCCCACAGAGACCCACAGAGACCCCACAGAGACCCCACAGAGACCCACAGAGACCCCACAGAGACCCAAGAGTCCCACAGAGACCCACAGAGACCCCAGATACCCCAGAAACCCACAGAGACCCACAGAGACACCAGAGACCAAAGAGACCCACAGAGACCCACAGAGACCCCAGAGACCCCAGAGACCCACAGAGACCCCAGAGACCCCACAGAGACCCACAGAGACCCCACAGAGACCCCACAGAGACCCCACAGAGACCCACAGAGACCCCACAGAGACCCACAGAGACTCACAGAGACCCCACAGAGACCCACAGAGACCCACAGAGACCCCACAGAGACCCCACAGAGACCCCACAGAGACCCCACAGAGACCCACAGAGACCCCACAAAGACCCAGAGAGACCCACAGAGATCCCACAGAGACCCACAGAGACCCACAGAGACCCCACAAAGACCCCACAGAGACCCACAGAGACCCACAGAGACCCACAGAGACCCCACAGAGACCCACAGAGACCCCACAGAGACCCGAGAGACCCACAGAGACCCACAGAGACCCACAGAGACCCCAGAGACCCACAGAGACCCACAGAGACCCAGAGAGACCACAGAGACCCCACAGAGATCCCACAGAGACCCCACAGAGACCCACAGGGACCCCACAGAGACTCACAGAGACCCCACAGAGACCCACAGAGACCCCACAGAGACCCCACAGAGACCCACAGAGACCCCACAGAGACCCCACAGAGACCCACAGAGACCCCACAGAGACCCACAGAGACCCCACAGAGACCCACAGAGACTCACAGAGACTCACAGAGACCCCACAGAGACCCACAGAGACCCACAGAGACCCCACAGAGACCCCACAGAGACCCAGAGAGACCCCACAGAGACCAACAGAGACCACACAGAGACTCACAGAGACCCCACAGAGACCCACAGAGACCCCACAGAGACCCACAGAGACCCCACAGAGACCCACAGAGACCCCACAGAGACCCACAGAGACCCCACAGAGACCCCACAGAGACCCCACAGAGACCCCACAGAGACCCCACAGAGACCCCACAGAGAACCCACAGAGACCCACAGAGACCCCACAGAGACGCACAGAGACCCCACAGGGACCCACAGAGACCCCACAGAGACCCCACAGAGACCCACAGAGACCCCACAGAGACCCCACAGAGACCCCACAGAGACCCACAGAGACCCCACAGAGACGCACAGAGACCCCACAGGGACCCCACAGAGACCCCACAGAGACCCACAGAGACCCCACAGAGACCCCACAGAGACCCACAGAGACCCCACAGAGACCCCACAGAGACCCCACAGAGACCCCACAGAGACCCCACAGAGACCCACAGAGACTCACAGAGACCCCACAGAGACCCCGAGAGACCCCACAGAGACTCACAGAGACCCACAGAGACCCCACAGAGATCCACAGAGACCCAGCAGAGACTCACAGAGACCCCACAGAGACCCACAGTGACCCCACACAGACTCACAGAGACCCCACAGAGACCCCACAGAGACCCCACAGAGACTCACAGAGACCCCACAGAGACCCACAGAGACCCCACAGAGACCCCACAGAGACCCCACAGAGACCCACAGAGACTCACAGAGACCCCACAGAGACCCAGAGAGACCCCACAGAGACTCACAGAGACCCACAGAGACCCCACAGAGATCCACAGAGACCCAGCAGAGACTCACAGAGACCCACAGAGACCCCACAGAGACCCACAGAGACCCACAGAGACCCTACAGAGACCCCACAGAGACCCCACAGAGACCCACAGAGACCCCACAGAGACCCCACAGAGACCCCACAGAGACCCACAGAGACTCACAGAGACCCCACAGAGACCCAGAGAGACCCCACAGAGACTCACAGAGACCCACAGAGACCCCACAGAGATCCACAGAGACCCAGCAGAGACTCACAGAGACCCCACAGAGACCCACAGAGACCCACACAGACCCCACAGAGACCCACAGGCCCACAAAGACCCACATAGCCGCAGTGGATTGTGACATGGCTGTGAATTATTAGACCATAGCTGTTAACCTGTACGATGTAACCTGCATTCTTGTGCAGGGAAATTGAGGTTTTCAGGTCCTTACGGCGCACAGCCGTTTAAATACGGGCCATAAACATGCGTCTGGTTGTGCTTCTCCCTTGTGATGGGACTTTGTAGGATGAACGTTGAGATGTATAAGGGGCAGGGTGTGATCAATAAGTGTCTGAATTGGTCTGTAATAAAGGTAGGCCACCGATAAGGGGTTGACAGGTATGGAGACCCACAGAGACACACAGAGATATTCAGAGACATACAGATACCCCACAGAGACGCACAGACCCACAGAGATGCATACATGTCAACCCATACAGTTTAGCCCGTATAATTTGTCCAGGGAAATTGTGTGTTCAGGTCCATTCGGCGTACAGCCGTTTCGATACGGGGAAAAGATAATATCATTAGTAATGTAATTTGGGGGGGGGGGGTGGATTTTTGTGGCAGTGTGTTTGTGTTTCTCCCCCGTGATGGGACTTTGTAGGCTGGACGTTGAGATGTACGAGTGGGTGACCGATAAAGTGTCTGAATCGGCCTGTAATAAGGTAGGGCACTGATAAGGGGCTGACAGGTTTGTGATCATCTTTGCTGTCTCTCTCTCTCTATCTCTCTCTGTTTGCCCTTCGGCTCAACCCCCCCTCCCTCTCCCCATCCACCCTGAGCAGCTACATTGAGCGGCCACCCACCGCTCCTCGCTCACTGAAACTCACTCCGACGCCACGCTCCCAGACCCCCGCTCGCCCCGCAAAAAAACTCCACCACCCCGCCATGGAACAGCGCCGCCGCTACCCGCACGGCCTCCGAGGGACACCATAGCACCGTGACGATACCTCGGGAGGTTAATGCCACGCACCCTCGCTCCCTCGCTCCCTCCCTCGCACCGCGTTCGCCCCTTTCTCTGCAGTGTTACAGAAGGGGGAAGGAGGAGGAGGCGCTGCAAGGCGACACTGACGGCTGCTCTGTGCTGATTGCGGTGTTCAGGGACCTGCTCGAGGAGCGGCTCCGGCTGGAGCACGCCACGTGACACACACACACAGACACACGTGTCGGTGATGTGCAGCGCGTCTTGTTAGAACGCTGGGGGTGTAGGGGGGGGGCCGGACAAGCCCCCCTCTCTGTAGCAGCAGTGGACGGCACCACCCTCGTGTTCACGTTCGGAAGCGCTCGCTCGTCAACGTGGCGTGTTGCGATGATCACCACCACTACCATCATCACCACCACTACCATCATCACCATCACCACCATCACTACCACTACCATCATCACCATCACTACCACCACCATCACCACCATCACCATCACCACCATCACCACCACCATCACCACCACCATCATCACCACCATCACCATCACCACCATCATCACCACCATCACCACCATCACCATCATCACCATCACTACCATCATTATCATCACCATCACCACCATCACTACCACTACCATCATCACCATCACCATCACCACCATCACCACCATCACCACCATCACCACCACCATCACCACCATCACCATCACCACCATCATCACCACCATCACCACCACCATCACTACCATCACCACTATCACC